GTCTTGACTCTGTTGTCCTCCATGTTATAGCTTAGTATGTATTTGTATAATCTAGAGATTAACCCTTTATCCTCCTTTTCCCATATTCTTTCCAATTCTGATTCTTTGGTTGCAAAGCCAATCCTCAAGTCTTTTTTGTATCTTTCATGCAGTTGGTGATAACGAAACCAATCATTAATCTCCAATTCTTCCCGCCCTTTTAATTTCCACTTTTCATTTTCTCTAATAAGGTATTCTTTATATGTTCTTGTTTCTACCCTTAAGGTTGGTCTTGTGACTGCTTCTAGTGGTCTCAGCCAAAGGGGTTTTTTTGGTTCCATCCCTTTTCTGTACTTTTTTCCAAATATCCAATAGTCCCCCTCTAATTATATGTTTATTAAAATCTTTATTTAATTTATCTCCATTATCACCTCCACGTATGCGTGCCAGCCGAATCGTAATCCAAATCCTTCCAAATCTAGTAGGGTCTTGTTTTCTAATTTTATCCATTCTTTCAGCCAGGACATTGCTGCAGCCTCATAATAGGTCCTTAAATCGGGTAAGCTTAGCCCCACTCTTCCTTTATCATCAATTAAATTTCGGTATGCTATCCTCGCTCTTTTTCTAGCCCAAATAAAGTTAGTAATCTCTCTTTTCCATTTCTCAAAGATTTTTGTTTCTTTAATAATAGGTATATTTTGAAACAGGAATAACATCTGGGGAGTACCATCATTTTTATTACTGCAATTCTGCCCATCCAAGTTAGAGGGATTGTTTGCCATCTGAGGAGATCTTTTTTAATGTCTTCCCATGTTCTAATGTAATTATCCTGGAATAAATTGATATTTTTGTTTGAAAGCCATATTCCTAGATATTTTACTTTCATTATCACCTCGCAGTGTGCTGCGGCCTCCAATTTCTTGCGACTTTTAACATCTATATTTTTTACTAAAAATTTAGATTTCTCCTTATCTATGATAAATCCTGATATGTCACCATATCTTTGGATTGTATCCAATAGTTTTTTAATACTTTGTAGTGGGTTAGTTAGGATACAGACTATATCATCTGCGTAAGCCCTAATTTTTAGTTCTTGGCCGCTGATCTTTAAACCGGTGATTTCTTTCTCTTCCCTTATCCTTACATTTAAGATTTCTAATCCCATAATAAACAATAGTGGGGACAACGGACAGCCTTGTCTTGTCCCTTTTTGTATATCAATGTAGTCTGATAGTTGACCATTTATTTTTAATCTTGCTCTTTGATTGGTGTATATTGCCCCTACTGCCCTTTTAAATTGGTGGCGAACTTCAAATTTTTCTAGCACTTTTTCCAAATAAGCCCAACTAACATGATCAAAAGCTTTTTTTGCGTCAATGAAGAACAATGCCAGATCTCTGTTTGGGTCTTTTTCTGCTATTTCCAGGGTGTTCAGTATCAGTCTGATGTTTTGATTTACTTGTCTTCCTGGGAGGAACCCCACTTGGTCTTTATGTATTAACTGTGCCAGTGCTTGCTTAATTCTATTTGCCAATATAGTGGCGAATATTTTATAATAAAAATTACAGACCAATATCTTTGTTGAACTGTGATTATAAAATATAAATTATAAAATATAATTAAATCTAAATCTTTATCCTGTTTGCGGACTAAAACAATTATGGATTCCTTCCATGATTCTGGAAGTTCCCCCTTTTTCATTACCGAATTCATCACTGACACCAACAATGGGACCAGCTCTTCCTTAAATGTTTTATAATATAGGATTGAGAGTCCATCTGCCCCAGGGGACTTGTTTACTTTAGCCAAATTTATTGTCCTAATTACTTCCTCTGGTGTGATTTCTCTATCTAAATCAGCTTTCATTGCTTCTGAGATTTGTTTTAAATTTGTCTCCTCTACATACTGCGAGATTGTCCTGATCTCCCCCTGAGTTCTTTTATATAGGTTTGCATAGTATTCTTCGAATAGTTTTTGTATCTGTTGTGAATCAGTGATAATTTCACCTTTATTTTTTATTCTCATTATCAGTGGTTTTTTCTTTACATCTTTTATTTGCCAAGCTAATAATTTCCCTGGTTAGTTTGCGTTTTCAAAAAAATTGTATCTATTAAACATCATTTTCCTTGTATTGTCGAAGGCTTTCATGGTTGGAATCACTAGGTTCTTGTGGGTTTTTTCGGGCTATATGGCCATGTTGGAGGGGAGAGGGGGAGGGGGTTTAAGGAAAGGGAGGATATATGGGTGCATGGGGAGTGGGAGATGGATATGGGAATGTGAAAAGATAAGTTGAATAGGTTTTTAAGTTTAAAATAGAGTTGTGGTTGTAGCGAAGAATCTAATTAATGATTTGAACCTCTAAAAAATTCCAGAATGATGACTTGCTGTAAGGTGTCATTTATATTAATATTTCAATGTTAAATGAATATATAATTTAGTATTATTTAATAGGTTGTATAAGAAGAAGATGACGCTCTATGTGACTTAACTTTCAAAATGTAATCATTCATTCTCCAAGCTCTATTTCTTTTGTATCCCACTCTTAATTTCATTAATATTGGGTTATGGTCGGCTAATACTCTAGGTAATAACTCAATTTTCTCTGTTTTCCCCACTAGTTCCTTAGTACCAAATATCAAGTCAATTCTTGAGGATGTGCCATGTCTATGTGAATAATATGAATACTCTTTTCTTGTTGGGTTGTGGACCCTCCAAATATCATAAAGTTCCCAATGCTGGATTTCCCTTAAGAAGGATCCCGGGAGTTTGCCTTCCTTTCTGTCCTTTTTTGCTTTACTATCTCTATCCTCTTTGGGCACCATGACTCCATTAAAATCCCCCATCCATAACATTTCCTTTTCACCATATTCTGCTAATATGCATGTTAGTTTTTTATAGAATACTTTTTGTTTGTTGTTGGGAGCATACACTCCTACTAATAGTACAGGGTTTTTTTGAATACACACCTTTATTATTAATATTCTACCTTCCTCATCACAAAATATTTTCTCTGGTGTCAGTTCTTTTCTTATATAGAACAGTACTCCATTGGTCTTTTTGTTGTTACAGGCTGTAAATAATTGGCCCAACCTTTCCTTTTTTAACAGGTGACTATCCTCATAAATCAGATGTGTCTCGACCAAACATGCTATGTCTGGTTTGATTTCCTGCAAGTAATGAACCACTTTCTTGCGTTTATAGCCGTTATTTAAACCGTTAATGTTGGAAGCTATAGTTTTTACACTTTGTATAGACATTTTAATCTACTCTACCCCATCCTATCCCCCCCACCCCCCACCCTTTCCAATAAGAAAAGAAAATACATTACATTTCCTGATACATATTACATTGCTCTTAATGTTCCATTATTTACTAGTCTATTCCCCCGCTGTTCCTTCTTCTTCATCATTTTCCTCTTTTTCTTCATCCATTTGAGCGCTCTCCTTCACATTTTCCTTCCGCTCTGGCTCTCTCCTTTCCTGTAGCACCCCTTTACCCCTTCCATGTCCTTGTCTCTCATCGCCTGCATGCAGTCTTTCTCCATCCGGGAAATCCTGGGCATATTTCCTTAGAAATTGTTCAACCTTCCCTGAATCTGTAATAGAGTGTCTCTTTGCCTTATGGTAGAAGGAGATCCCCTGTGGAAACAGCCAGCGAAATGGGGTTCCTCTGCTCTTCAGTTTAACCACCAGTGCATTGAATTCTTTTCTTTTTCTGGACTTTCACTTTCCAAGGCTGCAGGAGTTTCACTCCACAAACCGTCATCTTCTACATTGCACTCAGAATCAACATCTTCATTGGCATCAGGAAATACAATCAGAGACTCAGGTTCAGGTTCACACACAGGCTGAACCCCAACAAGTTCACCAACAGAGATCTGGCTCTAGCAATTCCATGACGTTGCTCCCAGCAAACTGCTAGCTCCCGACTCCAGCTCTTTATGCCACTTTCCCAAGCGCACTCCCCTGTTCTTGTTCCTCACAGCCAAGCGATTAGATGCAATTTCCTGTGCTGGGTGATGGCTCCAGTCCTTAATTGCAGCCTTAAGAGCTTAACATGCCTGGTTCTGCTTTCTGGAGCTTTCAGTCCTGGCCTGACTCGGACGCTGGGCAAGGAAGACCTTCATCTTCCTCCTCACCACGAGCCCTGACACCGTCTTCGTTCTTTCTTCCTTGCAGGCAGCTTGCCGTGGTCCCCGCTTGTGGCCATCCTGGAGCCAGAGAGTGGCTCGGACTCAGAGCTTCAGGTCTTTGCCATGACCCTCATCAACAAGGTGGGTCTGGAGGGGGAGGGACGTGTGTACGGGGGTCGCAATGGGGCCGCAGAACCCCCCTCCTCCCTCCGCTGACTGTCCGTTGGTGTCACACAGACCCTGGCCGCCCTCCCTGACCAGGACTCCTTCTACGACGTGACGGACTGCCTGGAGCAGCAGGGCATGGAGCGCATCATCGCCCAGCACATGGCCAGCAAGGGCACCGACCCGGGGCTCCGGCACCAGCTGGCCATCTACGAGGTGAGGCCACGCCCCCAGTTTGGGGGTGGGGTGGGCTCTGCGGCTGCTCCTCCACCCCCTCCGCCTTGCAGTGTCCCCTGACACTGAATAGCTTTATTGTCATTGTACGCTCTACAATGAAATTAAATGCCACCCCCAATACGCATTATAGATGTCGAAGTACAAAAACAAAATACCCCTCTTCCCACATTCCTGTCACTATTTCACAGCCCCTCGTGCCAATCTTTTGATGAATGGGTGGATAAAAGATCAGATAAGTGGGTTGGGAGATAAATAGATAAATAATAGCGAAAGACACAAGTGAAGAGATAGAGAAAGAGAGAAATGTGTTGGTGATGGATGGATGAATGAATGGATGGATTGGTACATGGATGGATGGATGGATGGATGGATGGATGGATATAGATAGATAGATAGATAGATAGATAGATAGACAGACAGAGAAAGACGTAGGTGAATAGAGAGAGAGAAAGAGAGAAATGTGTTAGTGATGGATGGATGAATGAATGGATGGATTGGTAGATGGATGGATGGATGGATGGATGGATGGATATAGATAGATAGATAGATAGATAGATAGATAGATAGATAGACAGAGAAAGACGTAGGTGAATAGAGAGAGAAAGAGAGAAATGTGTTGGTGATGGAGGGATGGACGAATGGATGGATTGGTAGATGGATGGATGGATGGAGAAGGATGCAGGTGAATAGAGAGAAAGAGAGAAATGTGTTGGTGATGAATGGATGGATTGGTAGCTGGATGGATAGAGAGAGATAGATAGATAGATAGATAGATAGATAGATAGAGATAGATAGAGACACAGGAGAAGAGATAGAGAAAGAGAGAAAAGTGTTGGTGATGGATGGAATAATGGATGGATAGATAGATAGATAGATAGATAGAGACACAGTGAAAAGATAGAGAATGAGATAAATGTATTGGTGAATGGATGGATGGATTGGATGGATGGATGGTAGATGAATGGATGGATGGATTGGTAGATGGATGGATGGATGGATGGATGGATGGATAGATAGATAGATAGATAGATAGAGACGCAGGTGAAGAGAGAAAGAGAAAGAGAAATGTGTTGGTGATGGATGGATGAATGGATGGATTGGTAGATGGATGGATTAGTAGATGGATGGATGGATAGATAGATAGATAGATAGATAAAGACGCAGGTGAATAGAAAGAGAGAAAGAGAGAAATGTGTTGGTGATGGAGGGATGGACGAATGGATGGATTGGTAGATGGATGGATGGATGGATGGATGGATGGATAGATAGATAGATAGATAGATAGATAGAGACGCAGGTGAAGAGAGAAAGAGAAAGAGAAATGTGTTGGTGATGGATGGATGAATGGATGGATTGGTAGATGGATGGATTAGTAGATGGATGGATGGATAGATAGATAGATAGATAGATAAAGACGCAGGTGAATAGAAAGAGAGAAAGAGAGAAATGTGTTGGTGATGGAGGGATGGACGAATGGATGGATTGGTAGATGGATGGATGGATGGATGGATGGATGGATAGATAGATAGATAGATAGATAGATAGATAGATAGATAGATAGAGAGATAGAGAGATAGAGAGATAGATGGATGGATGGATGGATGGTAGATGGATGGATGGATGGATGGATAGATAGATAGATAGATAGATAGATAGATAGAGACGCAGGTGAAGAGAGAAAGAGAAAGAGAAATGTGTTGGTGATGGATGGATGAATGGATGGATTGGTAGATGGATGGATTAGTAGATGGATGGATGGATAGATAGATAGATAGATAGATAGATAGATAAGAGACGCAGGTGAAGAGAGAAAGAGAAAGAGAAATGTGTTGGTGATGGATGGATGAATGGATGGATTGGTAGATGGATGGATTAGTAGATGGATGGATGGATAGATAGATAGATAGATAGATAAAGACGCAGGTGAATAGAAAGAGAGAAAGAGAGAAATGTGTTGGTGATGGAGGGATGGACGAATGGATGGATTGGTAGATGGATGGATGGATGGATGGATGGATGGATAGATAGATAGATAGATAGAGACGCAGGTGAAGAGAGAAAGAGAAAGAGAAATGTGTTGGTGATGGATGGATGAATGGATGGATTGGTAGATGGATGGATTAGTAGATGGATGGATGGATAGATAGATAGATAGATAGATAAAGACGCAGGTGAATAGAAAGAGAGAAAGAGAGAAATGTGTTGGTGATGGAGGGATGGACGAATGGATGGATTGGTAGATGGATGGATGGATGGATGGATGGATGGATAGATAGATAGATAGATAGGATGAATGAATGGATGGATTGGTAGATGGATGGATGGATGGATGGATGGATGGATATAGATAGATAGATAGATAGATAGATAGATAGATAGATAGATAGACAGAGAAAGACGTAGGTGAATAGAGAGAGAAAGAGAGAAATGTGTTGGTGATGGAGGGATGGACGAATGGATGGATTGGTAGATGGATGGATGGATGGAGAAGGATGCAGGTGAATAGAGAGAAAGAGAGAAATGTGTTGGTGATGAATGGATGGATTGGTAGCTGGATGGATAGAGAGAGATAGATAGATAGATAGATAGATAGATAGATAGATAGAGATAGATAGAGACACAGGAGAAGAGATAGAGAAAGAGAGAAAAGTGTTGGTGATGGATGGATAAATGGATGGATTGGATGGATAGATAGATAGATAGATAGATAGATAGATAGATAGATAAAGACGCAGGTGAATAGAAAGAGAGAAAGAGAGAAATGTGTTGGTGATGGATGGATGGATAGATAGATAAAGACGCAGGTGAAGAGAGAGAGAGAAAGAGAGAAATGTGTTGGTGATGGATGGATGGATAGATAGATAGATAAAGACGCAGGTGAAGAGAGAGAGAGAAAGAGAGAAATGTGTTGGTGATGGATGGATGGATGGATGGATGGATGGATTGGTAGATGGATGGATAGATAGATAGAATGAGAAAGACGCAGGTGAATAGAGAGAGAAAGAGAGAAATGTATTGGTGAATGGATGGATATGTCGAATTACAAAAACAAAATACCTATCTTTCCACATTCCAATCACTATTTCACAGTCCCTCATGCCAATTTATTGATAAACGGGTGGATAAAGGGTCAGATAGGTAGGCTGGTAGATAAATAGATGGATGATAGAGAAAGACACAGGTGAAGAGAGAGAGAGAAAGAGAGAAATGTGTTGGTGATGGATGGATGGATGGATGGATAGATAGATAGATAGATAGACAGACAGACAGACAGATAGATAGAGACAGGTGAAGAGATAGAGAAAGAGAGAAATGTGTTGGTGATGGATGGATGGATGGATGGATGGATGGATGGATAGATAGACAGACAGACAGACAGACAGACAGACAGATAGAGACAGGTGAAGAGATAGAGAAAGAGAGAAATGTGTTGGTGATGGATGGATGATGGATGGATAAATAGAGAGAGAGAGAGAGAGAGAGGTAAATAGAGAGAGAAAGAAATGTGTTGGTGATGGATGGATGATGGATGGATGGATGGATAGATAGATAGAGAGACGCAGGTGAACAGAGAGAGAAATGTGTTGGTGATGGATGGATGGATGGATGGATGGATAAATGGATTGATTGGTAGATGGATGTGGATGGATAGATAGATAGATAGATAGATAGATAGATAGATAGATAGAGAAAGACAGATGAAGAGACAGAGAAAGAAATATGTTGGTGATGGATGGATTGGTGGATAGATAGATAGATAGATAGATAGATAGATAGATAGATAGATAGATAGAGAAAGACGCAGGTGAATAGAGAGAGAGAAAGAGAGAAATGTATTGGTGAATGGATGGATGGAGAGGTGGGTCAATAAGTAGATGACAGAGGAAGACAGAGAAATAAATAGATAGGTAAATAGCTCAGTAAAGAGAGAGAAAGAATATAATTATTTTTATTGTCCTTGTATGTCGTACAGCAGAATTAAATGCCACCCCCAATAGGCATAATATATGTCGAATTACAAAAACAAAATACCCATCTTCCCACATTCCTGTCACTATTTCACAGCCCCTCGTGCCAATTTATTGATGAACAGGTGGATAAAAGATCAGATAGGTGGGTTGGTAGATAAATAGATAGAGAAAGACACAGGTGAAGAGATAGAGAAAGAGAGAAATGTATTGGTGAATGGATGGCTATTTCACAGCCCCTATTAATGCCAGTCTATTGATGAACAAGTGGATAAAGGATCACATAGGTGGGCTGGTAGATAAATAGATAGATGATAGAGAAAGAATGGATGGATTAATAAACCGAGAGATAGAGACACAGTTGAAGAGATAGAGGAAAAGAGGGAAATGTATTGGTGAATGGATGGATGGAGAGGTGGATCAATAAGTAGATGATAGAGGAAGACAGAGAAAGAAATGGATAGTTAAGTGGATAGGGAGGGAAAGAAAGAAAGAAAGAAAGAAAGAAAGAAAGAAAGAAAGAAAGAAAGAAAGAAAGAAAGAAAGAAAGAAAGGGAAATGTTTTGTTGAATGGATGGGAGGGGGAGAGAGAGAGAGAGGTAGATAGAGAAAGGCAGGTGGTAGAGAAAGAGAGAAATGTACAGATGGATGGATGGAGAAGAGGATATGAACCAATGGAGCACCCGAGAACTTACACCTCGCCACCTTCTCCACTCGATTTCCATTGATAGCAAAAGGCTGGATTTCTGATCTATTCCTTCTGTATCCTACTCTAAGAAACCTTGGTCTTTTGGATGTTGAGAGCCAAATGGTTATGGTGCTTGCACTGCGAGAGCGGCCAATTCATGACATCCTGGTCAGCAGACTTGAGAGCAGGCATGGGCCAACTTTGGCCCTCCCGCCAGGTGATTGGACTCCAACTCCCACAGTTCCTCACCATCTACTACTTGTTAGAAATTGATGGAGCTGGAGTCTAAAACACCTGGCGGGAGGGAGGGCCGAAGTGGGCCCCTGCATGCTCTCGAGTCTGCACAAAGCGCTGGGCCTTGAGGAGAGGGTCCCATGGCATCCCGCTCCTCTTCCTCTCCTCGCAGAGCACCCTGCGGTACGAAGACGGCCTGGAGGATCCCCCCGAGGGCCCCCCCGGGAAGGAGCGCAGGAAGGGGGAGGAGGGCCGGCGGGGGCCGCGGCGCTCCCTTGGGTACACCTCGGCCTTGGCGGCATCGGCCGTGGAGAGCGGCAGCGCCCAGCATCCCCCGGTCGCAGCCAAAGTGGAGAAGGAGGAGATGCCGTGAGTCAAGGGGAGCGCGGGCTCGGTGGGAAGGGGCCGAAGCTCCTCTCCGTCCAGCTCCACCTAGCTCTTTCGCATTCCTTTCTCCCAGGACGACCCACAGCAGCGTGTCCTGCGTGTCCGGCCTGCAGCTCTCCTCCCTGTTGGTGGGACCAGTCGAAGGAGGAGGATGTAGTGGAGGGGAGACCCCCACCAGCCTGGGCGAGAGGAGCGTCTTCAAGTAGGTCCTGCTCCCTTCCTCTTGCAAAACGAGGAGGAATCGTGTGACCTTCCTTGACTCTGAGTGGTGGGAGCTGCAGTGGCCTCTGTGAAAGTGACAGGGGGCATGTCTAGAGGGGGAGGGGGAGGGGGAGCATACTCCCCCCACCCCCATGGGGTCCCTGCCCTTGCAAGAGCTTTCTCCCCCCACCCCCTTGTTGCCCTCTTATTTTCTCTGCAGATCGGCCCACGGAGTGAGTGGCACCACCCTTGGCACTGAGGGGGGTGTTGAGGGTAGAGATGGGGGGTGGGTGAGTGGGTGGGCTCCCTTGGTCTCCCCTCCTGCAACCTCAGCCCTTCTGCTCTCTCTGTCTCTCTCTGCTGCCTGCCCTCTTGCAGACTCCGCGAATCCGCCTCTGCTTGGTAAGTCACTGGTGTGGCATGTGGCGTGGTGTAGATTGGCATGACTGTTTGTGTGTGTAGGTGTTGCACTGCCGGATTAGGGGCAGGGGGCCCATTTTGGGGAGGGGACCCCCACCTGCATTGCACTGAGTGCTGCGTGTACTGGGTGGGCACCTGTGGTTGTGCCACGTAATCAGCTGGGGTTCCTTTGTGGGGGTGCAAACTTCTCTTCCTTTGGGGAGGGGTCTCTCAAGGGGGGATTCTGGCCTTTTGCTGCTTCCATGGAGGGGTCTCCTGCTGCCTGAGGGGCAGACAGAGGAGGACACAGCCATGCCGCTGCTCCTGGTTGCGTTTCCTCCTCCGGACAGCCATTCACGCCATGCGCCTGACCACGCCGTCTCCCGGGAAGCCTCAGCGCAGACCCGTTTCCTTCTTGAGCCCACTCCCAAGGTGGCAAACATTTGGGAACACGTGTCCCAAATGCACGTGGGTCTCTGAAGAGAAAGCCAGGCGTTGCTCTTTACTTTTGAATCCCTCCAAATCCTCTGTTCATGTCCAGCATTTATTTTTAAAGTTTTAACTCCTACATTTGGCCTAGCCATAGGTTTTTTAATTCTTGTGTGTTATGGTCGACTTGTTTATTTTGTTTATTGCTTGTTATTTTATTATTGCTTGTTGTTTTTGATGTGTTGTTGGGCTTGGCCTCATGTAAGCTGCTCCGAGTCCCCTTTGGGGAGATGGTGGCGGGGTATAAATAAAGTTTTATTATTGTTATTATTATTAGTGCGCCAAATCAAAACCGGCACTAATAACAAAAAAGTTTACTCATGCAAGCGTGTGCAAAAATACCACAGAGGTACGGGTAATTTAGTTTCAGTATATCAAAGATTACTTACTTACTTACTTGGGCGATCCCTCGTTGGACGAGTAAGATGGTCTTCCATTATGGGTTTCCTTGTGGGTCCGTAGGTGGCTGTGGAGCCCTCTTCTTGACCCGCATCTTCTCCCATAGTGAAGGCATTGGTTTCCAGGTGGAAGGCGATCTTGGTCGGGGTTGGCTTGACACGCCTTCCTCTTGGCACGTTTCTCTCTTTCACCCTCCACTCGTGCCTCCTCAAATTCTGCAGCACTGCTGGTCACAGCTGACCTCCAGCTGGAGCGGTCAAGGGCCAGGGCTTCCCAGTTCTCAGTGTCTATGCCAGAGTTCTTAAGGTTGGCTTTGAGCCCATCTTTAAATCTCTTTTCCTGCCCACCAACGTTCCGTTTTCCGTTCTTAAGTTCGGAGTAGAGCAACTGCTTTGGGAGACGGTGGTCAGGCATCCGGACAATGTTGCCGGTCCAGCGGAGTTGATGTTGGAGGACCATTGCTTCAATGCTGGTGGTCTTTGCTTCTTCCGGCACACTGACCTTTGTCCACTTGTCTTCCCAGGAGATTTGCAGGATTTTCCGGAGGTATATATAGTAAAGATATATGGTAAAGATATAATCCAAAAGAAAAGAGACTAAAAGATAGATTCCCCAATGTCCTCATAAGCCCAGGAAGCAACGCCATGTTCTATGCCCATGCCGGAAGGCAGGCAACAGGACTACACAACCAACAACTGGGATTGGACTGGACTGAACTGGGGGACGAAGGAGGAGAGCCCTCTCTTATCACTTCTGAACTGCAAATGCATTGCAGCACCACTCCCTTCTTAGAAGAGATGCAAAGATCCATGCCAATGTTAATTGGGGGAGAGAGGGGTGTATCATAAAAGGGAGAAGGAGGAAGAGAGCAAGGGCAGGACAGGCAGGCAAAGCATTTGTAGGGAAATCTCCCCGGTATTCCCAAATCTTACCAATTGGGTCCTTGGCTGAGCTGCTTTGGATCATGAAGCAAAGTCCAAACAACTTAGGGCAAAACACGGTTTATTCATATTGCGCAATAGGAAGACGGACAAACAGCATAACACACAAAATTGTCCGCGCCTACCTGGGACGAACGTCCAACATATATACCCTACTTGTTGACAACTTTCAAAGTTCCCCTTTTCCCTTATTTGGCATAGCATTAAACAAACATTTCCTTTAGCATAAACAACCCCCAGAATATCTTACCACAAGATTTCTGTTGTAGTAAACAACTCCGAGGTGTGTCCCATATATGGCGATATTGCAAACATCTTCCAGTAATGGCCGACCACAGCCGTTTCCTATGTAAGCTGTGTAACACTTGCTTCCCTTGTGAGGGAGGCAGGCTGCATCTTTGAATAGAATATGTGTTCCCTGACACCCATAATGACAGACCAACAAGATGGAGTCGCTTTGGTTCACCGTTCCTCTCACATTGAGGGCACTTGCGGGAGTGTTTGCTCCCCACCAGCCCCTCCCGCAAAGGCAAAGTTTGGGCAATTGCATAAACTTCCCCCATGTTTTTGTAATGGAACCAATTAGGAAAGGACATTTATAACCCAGGAACAGCAATGGTGTTGTGCCGCGTAATGTTTTGGCGTGGAGCTTTTGGGGACGGGAAGGGGGTTGCATGGCGTTGTGTCTCCCCATTGCCCCGTGGGGCTAACTGACTCTTTCTCCCAGGCAAGAGGAGGGCGCCCCCGCCTTAGGGGGGGACAGGCCTGTCCTGAAGCGCTTTGAGTAAGTAGAGCCAGCCAGTGAGTGTGCGCTTCAGCCAAGCCTTGCTTGTAGATGGACGGCAGCGTGTGGCCAGAACGGGGCTTTGTGGGCAAGGGAAGCCTGCCACCTGGTGACTGAAGCAGGCACTGCGGGACTAGTCCCAAAAGCAAGAGAATTCGCTCCCTGTCCCAGGCGCCTGGGCTTTGCAGTTCTGCGGTGGATGGAAATGCAAACTCAGGGTCCTTTGTGACTGTTGGCAATGTTCAGGCTGGAGGCCCCATAACCCCCTAGTATCTATAGCAGGCATGGGCAAAATTTGTCCCTCCAGTTGAGATTAGTTTCACAATTCAGCAGCAGATCAGTTGCACAACTTCAGCGCTTTCCAGTAGTTTCTTCCTGCACAGTATTTTCAGTCAACTGCTCCCACAGCCTGCAGTCACTCTGGAACTCTTTTACAGACACTTGAGCACATGCCCGGCCATTGTCAATTTTACCATTGTCTTTCCCCCAGTCTAGATGACATTACAAACTTACCACAGCGCACAGTTATATCTTGTCTTAGCAGACAGGTTCTTTTAATCAATTACATAGAGCCTTCAATGAACAGCATCACAGCACAAGGAGAGGGAGAGAATACACTGTATATGACTTCCTTATATACAATTCTATACAATTACACATAGCAATCTCTGATTGGTTCCCAACTCATTGACTTAACTCAGACCCAGGATTACATCATTCACAATCACCTGGACTAGGCCAGAACACATTCCCCAAATGATTCCCTATATACAGTGAATGCATGACTCAGCATTTCCAATAGAAGCCTATTAGCAGTGCATGACTCAGCTATATTACATTGCAATATATTGTAAAACCTGACAGATTATTATTCCTGGTCTGCGACGAACAGCATCACAGCACAAGAAGAGAGGATACACTGTACATGACTTCCTTATATACAATTCTATACAATTACACATAGCAATCTCTGATTGGTTCCCAACTCATTAACTTAACTCAGACCCAGGATTACATCATTCACAATCACCTGGACTAGGCCAGAACACATTCCCCAAATGATTCCCTATATACAGTTAATGCATGACTCAGCATTTCCAATAGAAGCCCATTAGCAGTGCATGAATCAGCTAAATTACATTACAATACATTGTAAAACCTGACAGTTTCGGACTGCATCTCCCACAATTCCTAACAGCCATTACAAAGTCCAAAAGTCCTGGAGGGATAACGTTTGCTCATGTTTATCTTCTAATCAAATGAGGAGAGTTACAATACAATAGTGTAATTCACAGAATGGCATTAATGAGGGGTGCAATAGAAAGAGCGCCACGTTAAGAATGATCTGCATCATGGGTTTTGTGTCTTGGCCTGATCATATGTCACCTACCACTGTCTCAAACAACGTCATGCAGGCGAAAATGCCTGTATGATCTCACTGACCCCCTCACCTCCGCCCCTCTTTCCTTAACTTTCTCAAAACGACATTCTAATAAAACTTACACTCGGGTGGTGCAGGTATTAAATCTTTCTCATCCCAAGACCACATGGAGCGGGGTCCCGGGCAGAGGCATCGGCTTCAGTTGGGAGCCCCCCCTCAACATCAACTGATCCTCTGGGGCCAGAATGAAGAGAGGGGTCCAGGAAGATATTGTATTTATTTTATTTATTGTATTGTATATTACTTGCGAGCTGCTCTGAGTCCCCTTCGGGGTGAGAAGGGCGGCATATAAATGTCATAAATAAATAGTAATAAATAATAATTCTGTGAGTTGGGATCAAGTCTGACCCAAGGACTGGACGTTTGACCCAGTGCGGGTTTTTGCCCCCAGGGACAGACCTGCCTTGGTGGTGGCCCCCCACCTTTAGGGTCAGGTGGGCCATGGACTCCCTCCCCCCAGTTCATTTCCTGATTATATGACACCCATCACTGTCTCAAACAACGTCATTCAGGCGGAAATGCCTGTAAAATCTCACTGACCCCCTCACCTCCGCCCTTTCCTTAACTTTCTCAAAATGACATTCTAATAAAACTTACACTCGGGTGGTGCAGGTATTAAATCTTTCTCATCCCAAGACCACATGGAGCGGGGTTCCGGGCAGAGGCCTCGGCTTCTGTGGGTTGGGATCAAGTCTGACCCAAGGACTGGACCAGTGTGAGTTTTGCCCCCAGAGCCAGACCTGCCTTGGTGGTGGCTCCCCATCTTTGGGGTCAGGTGGGCCATGGACTTCCTCCCCTTCCTCCAAAGCACCTGACGGGCAGAGAGGTTTTGGCTTTGGCTTCATGCTGTTGTTTCTGCGGAGTGGGGTGGGGGACAGCCTCGCTGTGTGGAAGGGGAGGACCGGGCTTCCCTCCACAAAGCAAGGCAGGCTGTGATGGTCACTCCTCCTTCTCCCCATCGCAGAGCCCGCTTCCTGGAAAACCTGGCTGCCTCCCAGAAGGAGAAGCTGATTGCCATCTCCCAGGGCCGGGCGGAAGTGCTGGCGGAGGCCGCTCCGGGCCCCGAGCAGCTCGGACCAGGTGAGGCCGTGCGGACGGGAGGCGGGCGCAGGCGGGTGGATCCTTTGCACCCTGGGCTTGCCTTTTGGTGCTGAAGATACCCATGTTCAAAAAGTTTTCATGCTGGGAGACCATTATATCACACCAGAGAATTTACCGGGATTGTGGCGCAGCTGGCTGAGTGTCAGCTGCATTAAGATCACTCTGACCAAAAAGGTCATGAGTTCGAAGCCAGCCTGGGTTGGAGTGGGTTTCCAACCAATTGTGTAGCCCGTTGTCGACCTTTGCAACCCGAAAAATAGTTGCATCTGTCAAGTAGGAAAATTAGGTACCACCTTAAAGTGTGGGGAGGCTAAATTAACTGATTTATGAGGCCATAAAGAAGACTCCAGCAAAGCATTCCAGCGGGGAAGCATGCGGGGAATGCGGAAGTGCTTCATCAGTGTCGCAGATGGACGTTGAAAGTGACAGCTCCCCTGGCGGCCAGAAAAAGTTAAATAGGCTCTGTCTATGTCTGTATATGTTGTATGTTAAAATTGGCATGGAATGTTTGCCATATATGTGCACACTGTAATCCGCCCTGAGTCGCCTGCTGCGGGGTGAGGAGAAGGGCGGAATAGAAATGCTGTAAATAAATCAATAAATAATAAACATGAAAACATTGTGATGACCTTTCCCCAAGCTGGCTTCTCGTCTACCAGCCAGGCAAGAACTCCGCCTGACACAGAAATCAAGACAAGCTTGCCGGGTCAGGTCACTGTCAAGGCTTTCTGTACTTTCAGTATCATCTTCCCTCTGTCTATGTCTGTATACGTTGTATGTCAAAATTGGCATGGAATGTTTGCCATATATGTGTACACTGTAATCCGCCCTGAGTCCCCTGCTGCGGGGTGAGGAGAAGGGCGGAATATAAATACTGTCAATAAATAATAAATAAATACCTGCCTGTGTTAGAATGATGATAATAACATCATCATCATCATCATCATCATTATTATTATTATTATTATTATTATTATTATTATTATGTCCGTATCTGGCCGTAATGCCTCCCTCTCTGTCCTCAGGAAGGTGGGGCGAAGGGGCCAACGAGGGAGAGCCACGGGCCCCGTCGGTTGCGGACCCCTGCCATCCCCAAGAGGTCGAGGAGCCGTCCCCTGCCAGCCGTGGCCCCTCTCCGTTGAGCACCCCGTCTCCTCCTGAGAAGAAGAAGGGCCCCCCATGCCAGCACCAGCAGCATTCGCCTCCATGGGCACAGCCCCCGCTCTTGCCCACAGAAGAGAACCGAGGGGTCCCACCTGAAGAAGAGGTCGCCCAGTTGCCGGCTGTCCGGGCGCTGAGGGCACAGTTCAGCCTGGAGGCCGAGTCCAGCCTGCAGAGCCTGGAGCGGACCTTGCTGGGCCCCTCCGGGAAGGACGCTGGGAGTCCCTCTGGCCCTCCGCCACTCAAGATCCGGGACTTGGACTTCTCCGACTTGGGTGAAGAGGAAGACAAAGATGTCATAGAGGAGGAGGAGGAGGAGGAGGGGCTGATCCCGTCCTGGGGGGCCACTGGGTTGGCCGGAATCCCGCCCCCTCCACCCCCTCCCCTCCCTGGCTGCCCCCCTCCTCCGCCTCCCCCTCCCCTCCTCCCCCCCGGCCCCCCACCTTTGGCCCTCGGGCAGGACACTCCCTCTCTGGCCAAGAAGAAGATGGTCAAGCTCTTCTGGAAGGAGATCAAAGACCCCGAGGGCCAAGGCGGCGGAGGGCGTTTTGGGGCGGCCACGCTGTGGGCCTCCCTGGAGGCGGTGGAGGTGGACGCGGCCAAACTGGGGCACCTCTTCGAGTCCAAGGCCAAGGAGTCGCTCGGCAGCAAGGTAGGGCCGGACCTTGACCCCCTCCCTCCTGGTCATCCCGTTAGAGTACAGATATGTCTCCTTATGGAGAGAAAAAGGGGTGCAAATAAACCTAATAATAATAATAATAATAATAATAATAATATGAGTCTTCTTATGGAGAGAAAAACTGGAGTATAAATAAACAACAACAACAACAACAACAACAACAATAATAATGGTAATAATATATATGAGTGTCCTTATGGAGAGAAAGAGCGGTGTAAAAATGAATAATAATAATAATAATAATAATAATAATAATAATAATAATAATATGAGTCTTCTTATGGAGATAAAAAGTGGGGTATAAATGAATAATAATAATAATAATAATAATAATAATAATAATAATAATGATAATAATAATATACAAGGCCTTATGGAGAGAAAAACTGTAGTATAAATAAACAACAACAACAACAATAATAATGGTAATAATATATATGAGTGTCCTTATGGAGAGAAAGAGCGGTGTAAAAATGAATAATAATAATATTAATAATAATAATATAATACAAGGCCTTATGGAGAGAAAAAGCTGGATATAAATGAACATAATAATAATAATAATATACATGAGTCTCCTTATGGAGAGAAAAAGCGGGGTAAAAATTAATAATAATAATAATAATAATAATAATAATAATATACAAGGCCTTATGGAGAGAAAAAGTGGGGTAAGCATGAACATTAATAATAATATGTGAGTCTCCTTATGGAGAGAAAAGGGGGTGTAAATAAACATAATAATAATGATAATGGTAATATATATGAGTCTCCTTGCAGAGAGAAAAAGCAGGATATTAATAATAATAATAATAATAATAATAATAATAATAATAATAAACGATGCCTTATGGAGAGACAAAGCAGTATATAAATGAACATAATAATAATAATTATTGTAATACACATGAGTCTCCTTATGGCGAGAAAAAGCCAGGGTATAAATGAACATAATAATAATAATAATAATAATAATAATAATAATAATAATAATAATATACTTTAGTCTCCTTATGGAAAGAAAAAGCAGGGTAAAATGAATAATAATAATACTAATATACAAGGCCTTATGGAGAGAAAAAGTGGGGTAAACATGAACAATAATAATAATGTTTGAGTCTCCTTATGGAGAGAAAAAGCAGGATATAAATGAACATAATAATAATAATAATAATAATAATAATAATAATAATAATAATAATATACAAGGCCTTATGGAGAGAAAAAGGGATGTAAATAAACATAATAATAGTGATAATGGTAATAATATATGAGTCTCCTTGCAGAGAGAAAAAGCAGGTTATTATTATTATTATTATTATTAATAATAATAATAATAATAAATGAGGCCTTATGGAGAGATAAGCTTTTGAGCTGTGGTGTTGGAGGAAAGTGCTGAGAGTGCCTTGGACTGCGAGAAGACCCAACCAGTCCATCCTCCAGGAAATAAAGCCCGGCTGCTCATTGGAGGGAAAGATACTAGAGACAAAATTGAAGTCCTTTGAATGCCACATCATGAGGAGACAGGAAAGCCTAGAGAAGACAATTATGCTGGGGAAAGTGGAAGGCAAAAGGAAGAGGGGCCGACCAAGGGCAAGATGGATGGATGGCATCCTTGAAGTGACTGGACTGACCTTGAGGGAGCTGGGGGTGGTAACGGCCGACAGGGAGCTCTGGCGTGGGCTGGTCCATGAGGTCACGAAGAGTCGGAGACGACTGAACGAATGAACAACAACAACATGGAGAGATAAATGAACATAATAATAATAGCAATAGTTTAATAATAGTAATAATAATAATAACATGTGCCTGTATGTGTTTCCTTCCGTGTCCCGGGCTGCCCCCAAGAAAGCAGCAGATGGGAAGAAGCTGCTGGTGGTGCTGGACCCCAAGCGGAGCAACGCCATCAACATTGGGCTGACCGTCCTGCCGCCCGTCCACATCATCAAGCAGGCCATCCTCAACTTTGACGAGTTCGCCATTAACAAGGAAGGGATCGAGGTGAGACTTGGCCCTGGGGATCCCATGGGGACCCTTGAGAGAGAGTGCCGCTCCGCTCCCATCGTGATGCATGGAAGCAACCTGTGGGGGAGCGCCTGGACGCGGGGCCATGCGCTTCGGCCGCGCATCTCAGACGTGTCCTTGTTTCTCGGCAGAAAATCCTGACGATGGTCCCGACGGAGGAGGAGCGGCAGCGGATCCAGGAGGCTCAGCTGGGCAGCCCGGACCTCCCGCTGGGCTCGGCGGAGCAGTTCCTGCTGGCGCTCTCCTCCATCGCCGAGCTCCAGGCACGGCTCCAGCTCTGGGCCTTCAAGCTGGACTACGACACCATGGAGCAGGTCGGGGCCCCTCCGCAGAGATGCACAGAGCAGCAGGGGAAGAGGGGTGGGTGAAGAAGAGACCGAAATGTGTCGGGGAATCCAAGCTGTTGGGCTCAAAAATAACCCTCACCCTTGCAGGAGATTGCAGAGCCGCTGTATGACCTGAAGCTTGGGATGGAGCAGCTGGCCCAAAACCGGACCTTCAAGTGCATCCTTGCCACGCTCCTGGCCATGGGCAACTTCCTGAACGGATCCCAGGTGAGAAGGAGGGGGGCAAGGCTATGGGGATGGGGGTGACTGTGTTTTGGCCCCTGGCCCAAGAATGCCATAGGGATGCCTGGCCTCCTCACAATGTTCTAGAGCTAAAATTTAGGGGTCTTTGCCAGGAGGCAGAGACCAATTAGACTCCTCAAAGAGTTCTTTTTTCCCTGGCAAGACAGAGAAGCATCCCATATTTTTCCCTGATTTCCCAATGAAAAGTCTCACCAGTTGAAGAAAAGCCATCGAGGTTTAATGCGATTCAGCTGAAACCGGATGCAAAGCTGCAATCATTCGCCAAGCTAAGCATGAGGGGAATACACCAATGCAGTCATATTTATAGTAAATTCAAATTTGCAGAGTTCAAACTCCCCGCCCCGGCTTCCCTGTTGTTCCCTGCTGTGATTGGGTGATGGGTGGACACCTGGGAGGCAGCCCTCCCACCCCCGGCACCTCTGGACCAATCAGGAAGCTCCAGTGGTCCGTAGGATCCAATGGGGAGACCTCTGCCACCTGGTGGCGACAGCCAATCAGGAGAGATGGAGGCGGGATGATGGAACACAAAGGAATCTGGGAAGGAATCTTTAAACAAAGGAATGCCATGTGCTCTGTGAGACAAAGAGCCCATGTGTCCTGATCCTTCCTGGCTGTGAGACAGGAGAACAATGATGGCAGCCTGAGGTTAATGCTAAGTAAACAAAAGCAGAGGGGAAGATTTCCCCTTATCTTACAGAAACTTTTGTCAAACAATTCTTTACTCTAGTGGGCCATCTTCCGAGGCTAGAGATAAGAATCTCCTTCTTTTATCCATGCAAATGTGTCTTTGGTGGGAGGTTTCAGTCTTTTGTTTCTGAAGGCCAGGGGGTTCCCTTACATATTTCTTTGGAGGGAGAAGGGGCAAAGGGTCAAGAATACAAGGAAACATAAAAACCATATAGAAATTATACACACGGAAATCATATGCAGCTTTCTTCCCATCCGGGACCCCAGAGAGAGATTAATAATACCAATTATAAAAAGCAGACGATATCAGGACACAGCATGAATCCATAAGTTGTCTTGAAGAAAGTTCATGGGTAGGGAGCGAGTCCTTGAAGAGAGTGAAGTCCAGGAATGTAGCAGAATTCAAAAAGCCACCAAAGGGAGTCTATGGAGTTCCACTGGGCCAAGATGCAAAGCCCTGCAGCACTGGGATGGAAGCCGGTCCCATGGTCCTTGGAAAACTACAGCTCTCTCTCTCGAAAGAGAGAGAGAGGCAGAGACCCCAAGGTCTAGCCATTCCCAAAGTTTCATGGGGTCCTCATTGTTTGTTAAGGCCTTGACAAATTGACCAAGACTTAACCCCTATTGTGCAGTCTGGTACCTTTGTCCTTTGCAGAACTATAAGTCACCATCCCTTGTTAGCGGGGGGGGGGGTCATGCTCGGCTTCAACAATAGGCTTAGAGAGGGGAAGGCATCAGGTAAACAAAGAGGTGTTTGGGACAGGTTCTTTGCACCAGAAAAGGCAAAGAGGTGACAGGAGAGCTTGACATATCTGGAGGGTTTGTTGTCATTGTGTCCAGTTCAATCACTGGGTTTAAATGGCAAGAGAGGAGACTTGGATTGAATATTGGGAAGGCGTGGGGTGTGTCTTAGGAGCCATTGGCCAGTGAAAGATAGTCTTCCAAGATGTTTGATCAGAGCAGAAATGGGCATGCATTACGGACGCTTTTGCTGCAGATCCTTGCAGTTAGCAAGCGGTTGGCCTACGCCAGGCATGGGCAAACTTTGGCCCTCCAGGCGTTTTGGGCTTGGTAGTTGTGGGAGTTGGAGTCCAAAACACCTGGAGGGTTGGCCGAAGTTGGCCCACGCCTGCTCTAGAGGGGAGGTCCACTCCTTTCGTCTTTTGGGAGGGACCTGCGCATGTTCCCTGACCCAGCCCTCCTGCCACAGAGCCGCGGCTTCGAGCTGAGCTACCTGGCCAAGGTCTCGGAGGTGAAGGACACCGTCCACCGGCAGACGCTGCTGCACCACCTCTGCCACTTCGTGGTGGAGAAGTTCCCGGACTCCACGGACCTCTACTCGGAGATTCCCGCCATCACGCGCTCTGCCAAGGTGAGGAGGGGGAGGCTGGGGGGGGCTTCCTCCCGATGGTGGGGGGAGAGGACAGGAAATGGGGCCACAGCCCCCATGGTCTTCCCATTCTCCCTCCCTCTGTTCCACCTCCATTAGGTTTTTTTTCATGTCAGGAACGACTTGAGAAACTGCAAGTCGCTTCCGGTGTAAGAGAATTGGCTGTCTGCAAGGACGTTGCCCAGGGGATGTTGCCCAGGGGACGTTGCCCAGAGGACATTGCCCAGGGGATGTTGCCCAGATGTTTTACCATCCTGTGGGAGGCTTCTCTGATGTCCCCGCATGGGAAGCTGGAGCTGACAGATGGGAGCTGACCCCGCTCACCCTGCTTCTTTAGGTGGACTTTGAGGAGCTGGCGGAAGGGCTGCTGCAGCTGGAGCGGAGGTGCCGGGCTGCCTGGGAGAGCCTGAAGGCGGTGGCCAAGCATGACCTCAAGCCGGCCCTGAAGGCCAAGCTGACCGACTTCCTGCAGGCCTCCACACAGAAGATCATCATCCTCAAGGTGGTGCACAGGCGCGTCCTCAACAGGTAGAGTTGGGGGGGGGGGTGTCAGGAGTCAATTTCCGATGGCATAAAGACATCGCAAATTCCCTCCGTGACATCCTGGCTGAATCATGCTGGCTGAATCAATTCTCTCTCTGTGACGTTTTGAAGCCAGCAAAGGGCGCTGGAAACCTTGTATTGGAATTTGTGAAGCAACGAGTTCTAATGAGGAAACTGAGAAGAGGGGGAGATGGGCGGGAAAGGTGTCTAAAAGGAAGTGGTGGTGGGGAAAAGTCCGCAGTGTCTTCCTTTGCTGCAGAGATACAAGCAATATATCCATTTCAAAGCAAAACCGGCTTGTGAGTGATCATTTAATATTGCTATAAAAAACCTACAGTCTTATGGGGGGGGGGCTTGTCACAGCATCCAAGAATTGGAAGAGAGAGGATATGTAGTTCCCTTCTGCCATGCAGGAAAAGGGAAGGGGAGGGGAGGTCAAAGTGATTGCCTCTAATTGTCCCGGGAGCACCTGAGTTGAAAGGGGTGGGGCCATGATGCAAAAGGGTCTCACGCAAGGGGCCTCCTCCTCCTATTCTGATTCTGCAGGTTCCGCTCCTTCCTGCGCTTCCTGGGCTACGACTGGCGCTCAGCGCAGGAGCTGCGGACCACAGACTTCTGCCGGACGCTGCGGGAGTTTGCGCTGGAGTTCCGGACGTGTCGCGAGCGGGTCCTGCAGCAACGCAAGAAACGGGCGGCACATCGCGAGCGGAGCAAGACTCGCGGGAGGATGATCACCGAGGTTGGCCGGCATCCATGTGCCCATTGGGGAGAGTGGTGGTGTTGTTGGGAGTGGGGGGTGGGGTGTTGGCTCTATTGCGATTAGCGCCAGAAAAACAATCCATCCCTCACAGGAGTAAACAACAACAACTGGGTTGTTGTAGGTTTTTTCGGGCTATATGGCCATGGTCTAGAGGCATTCTCTCCTGACGTTTCGCCTGCATCTATGGCAAGCATCCTCAGAGGTAGTGAGGTCTGTGATGCCATAGATGCAGGCGAAACGTCAGGAGAGAATGCCTCTAGACCATGGCCATATAGCCCGAAATAACCTACAACAACCCAGTGATTCCGGCCCTTCAATAACACAAACAATAACAACAATTTTGTTCTTATATTCCGCCACCATCTCCCCAAAGGGACAGACAACACAAAGTGCCTAAAAACAAACATTAAAATGAAGCACAATCTAAAATACAACAAAGTAAAACACATACGCATATAAAAACATCCACTCAGACTCAATAAAACTTACCGGAGTGACGTTAAACTGCTGTAAAGATGGCCAGGCTGTAAACAATCAGAATGGAGTAAGTGCCAGCTGTTAGGAATTGTGGGAGTGGGAGTCAGTCCCACAAGGGCCAAAGTTGTGTACATACGTGCCAGTGCCCTCCCGTCATTGCTGCTGCTTCTTCCTCTCTCGCAGATGGAGAGGTTCTCCGTCGCCCACAAGGCCGACGAAGAGGGCCCCCCGCCCGCCGTGCTCTCCGCCCGCCTCCAGCAGAAGGACGAAGCCGGGCACCAGAGCATGGCCAGCATCCTCATCGCCCCCTCGGAGCCCTCCGGACGCCGGTCCCGGGGCAGCAGAGGTCAGCCAAGGGGATCTTGGGATAAGGAATCTATTAAAAGCAGTGACCATGTGGTGGAACTTCTCTTTCTGTCTCTCTTCTGCTGTGACTGTCTGATTCAGTCCACCCACCCCAGGCAGGCATGGCGGTGAGTGCCTCTGGGGTGGTGCTGATGAGGCTGCTCTCTTTGCGTTTCCCCCATCCAGGTTTTTCCAAGCAGAGCTCCCCCAGCGCGGCCCCCGCCCAGCCAGAGGGGGAGGGGGAGCCCCCCCAGCGCATGCCCCCCGTCGGCTCCCCTTCAGAGGAAGAGGAGGAGGAGATCATGGACCGGCTGGTCAAGTCCGTCACACAGAGCAGCCCTCCACGGCCGGGCGCTGGGAAGGAGCGCAAGCGGTCAAGGCTCAACCGCAAGTCCCGTGAGTTCCCCTTCCTTTGTGTGTATGTGTGTGTTGGGGGGGAGGGGGAGCCAATCTGGGAACCCAATAATGATATAAATAGTCATAATATATAGAAATGCCAATAATAATATACAGAAATAACAACATTGTAATTATAAGACTGTAGGATCTATCTAGCAATATTAAATAACCACTCACAAGCCGTTTGTGCTTTGAAATGGATATATTGCTTGTATCTCTGCAGCAAAGGAAGACACTGCGGACTTTTCCCCACCACCACTTCCTTTTATACACCCTTCCTGCCCGTCTCCCCCTCTTCTCAGTTTCCTTATTAGAGCTTGTTGCTTCACAAGTTCCAATACAAGGTTTCCAGCGGCCTCGGCTAACTTCAAAATGTCACACAGAGAGAATTGATTCAGCCGGGATGATTCAGTCAGGATGTCACGGAGGGAATTTGCGATATCGTCATGACGTCAGAAATTGACTCCTGACAATATTGCAATAATACAAATATTTTATATATAATATTAATAATGTTATAATATTATATATTATATATATTACAACTTATGATATAGTCCAATATAATCCTAATAGTATAATATATTGGTAGTGTATTATATATATATTGTGGTGTAATAATATAGTACAATATAATAATATATAATAATAGTATAATAATTGTATATTGCATATTACATGTAATATTACTAATAATGCAGTCTAGTGATATAGTATAATATAGCAATATATAATACTAATATTGTGCTATGCTATTAATATAATATATAGTAAATACATATAATATTGATAATAATATTATAATGTAATGCAATATAGTATTGATAGAATCCTAGACTCCAAGAGTTGGAAGAGACCTCCTGGGCCATCATCCAGTCCAACCTTATTCTGCCAAGCAGGAACATTGCATTCAAAGCACCCCTGACAGATGGCCATCCAGCCTCTGTTTCAAAGCTTCCAAAGAAGGAGCCTCCACCACACTCTGGGGCAGAGAGTTCCACTGCTGAACGGCTCTCACAGTCAAAAAGTTCTTCCTTATGTAAATAATACAGTAGGTTGGTGTGAGTTTTGCAGGCTGCCTGGCCATGTTCCAGAAGCATGCTCTCCTGATGTTTCACCCACATCTATAGCAGAGGTTGATGGGTCTGTTGGAAACTAGGAAAATGGGGGTTGTATACCTGTGGAGTGATATCCAGGGTGGGGGAAAGAACTCTTGTCTGCTTGAGGCAGGTGTGAATGTTGTCATTGGCCACCCTGATTAGCACTGAATGGCCTTGCAGCTTCAAAGCCTGGCTGTTGCTGCCTGAGGGAATCCTTTGTTGGGAGGTGTTAGCTGGCCCTGGTTGTTTCATGTCAGGAGTTCCCCTGTTGTTTGAAACAACCAATCAGGTCAAAAACAATAAATAAAAACAATAACAACATAAAAAATAATAATAGCAAATCCAAAAAGTAACCAAAAGTTATTAGAAATTAACGACTTAGATAAACAAAGTGTAACACATCACAAACATTTGTCAGAGTTCTGTTTACGTGGCAAATGTTTGTGATATGTTACACTTTGTTTATCTAAGTCCTTAATTTTAATAACTTTGGGTTACTTTTTGGATTGGTTACTATTATTTCTTATGTTGTGGTTGTTTTTATTTATTGTTTCTGACTTGATTGGCTGTTTCAAACAACAGGGGAATGCCTGACACGAAACAACCAGGGCCAGCTAACACCTCCCAACAAAGGATTCCCCCAGACAGCAACAGCCAGGCTTTGACGCTGCAAGGCCATTCAGTGCTAATCAGGGCATATTTAATATTGTACGTTTCCACGCTGTTGTAAACTGCCTTGAGTCCGCTGGCAAAAGGCAAGGTATTCGGCCGCCCATGCAAGTTCCCTCAGTGACCTCTTCCTCGCCCTCTTCCTTTTGTCTTTCCTCTTCCTCCAGTGAGGCGGACCCTGAAGAACGGCCTCAGCGATGAGCTGGTGCAAGCCTTGGGCTTGGCGAAGGCAGCCGGGGTTGCAGTTTGAGGACGAGGAGGAGGAGGATGCGGCGGTGACCGTGACGGCGCAGAGGAAGACCTGCTCTTTCCAAAGCCAGAAGGAAGAAGAGGAAGAAGAGGAGGCCCTGTGTTCAGAGGAGGGAGATGGTCTGCAGCAGGCATGGGCCAACTTCGGCCCTCCCTCCAGGTGTTTTGGACTACAACTCCCACAATTCCTAACAGCCTTATGGAAGTTGTATTCCAAAACAGACCAGTGAGAGGTGCAGCTCTTTGGATGCATGGACTGGCCTGGCATTGCTGCCTATCTCTGCACGGAATGGGCAGCCTTGGCCCGCCTTGGGTGCCTTTGTTTTCTCCGTTGCGCTTTCCCTGGTTCCAAACAGTATTATTATGCGTGTGAGTTTGCGCGTCTTCCGCATTTGCACATTTTTTTTCCGTCCGTCCCTCAGGAACTGGGGGCAGGAGCGTGGGGGGGGGGGTGCCTTAACCACTATATTTTCCCCCCTCCCCATTCCGTTCTGTGGTATTTCTTTTGCCTCAAACACATTGTCCATCCTGGACTACGAAACGAGAGGCGCAAAAATATAAAATGTTACAGCAACACAAGCTGCTTGCGTTTGGTTTGTGGGTGTGGCTTTGACACCATTCCTCCAAGGCCGTATCAGGGTTGAGCTCATGGGGGGGGGGGGTGTGATAGAATCTTAAAGAGTTGGAGGGGGACCCCGAAGACCATCTAGTCCGCCCTGATTCTGCCTCTCCCGCCCTCCGAAATCCCTTGGAAGGCTTCCCTGCTTCTCCACATATGGCCTGCAGAGGGCGACAAAGGCTTAGCTCTGAGCCCTGAGGCTCCCGCTGTAGAAATAATAATAATAATAATAATAATAATAATAATAATAATAATAATAATAATAATAATATTATTATTAAATACTATGGAACAAAATCTGATTTTTTTTCTGTTCCTGGTTTGAAAGGGTTATTTCCTGTTTCATTGTTCAGCCCTTATTTTGAAAGTCGTTCTACTCCACAAACTCTGTTTGGCCACAAACTGTCTCCCTTTTTTGCAGTTTTGCAATTTAATAAACTTTTCCCATGTTTTTCTGATAGAAACAATTAGGAAATAATCACATTTCTAACCCAGGAACAAGGATTATGTTGCATAGTGATACACACACATTGACACACACATATAATGTCATTATATAATAATAATAATAATGATAATAATAATCTTTATTTGTACCCTGCTACCATCTCCCCAAGGGACTCGGTGCGGCTTACATGAGGCCGAGCCCACAGCAGATCAATAAACAAAGGCGATAACAAATAATCAATACAAAACAGTTAAAATAAAATAAAACTCAAAAGCAAAAAATAACCAAAAAGCAATAAGCATTATCAATAATGATAATAATTTATTGTATTTGGCCCTCCAGGTATCTTGGATTTCAACCTCACTCTCTGTCACACACACATATATATTAACATATTCACACGTGTGTGTGTGTGTATATATGTATATGTATATGTATATGGGTTGAAGTCTGAAATACCTGGAGGGCCGAAGTTGGCCCATGTCAGGACTAGAGACTTCATCAGAGTCCTGATAGAGGCCACTGGGCTCCATTTCCGTTATTACCTGCTATTTTCTAAGGAACAGCAGAGTTGGGTTGTTGTAGGTCATGTTCTAGAGGCATTCTCTCCTGACATTTCGCCTGCATCTATGGCAAGCATCCTCAGAGGTTGGGAGGTCTGTTGGAACTAGGAAAGTGGGTTTATATATCTGTGGAATGACCAGGCTGGGACAAAGGACTCTTGTCTGCTAGAGCGAGGTGGGAATGTTTCAACTGACCACCCTGATTAGCTTTTGATGGCCTGGCAATTGTTTGGTGTGGCTTGTTAGTGCCTGGAGCAATCTTTTGTTGAGAGGTAATTAGATGTCCCTGTGCCCAACCTGGACACAGCATATGATTTGAGAACACAGAAATGCTGGACCACTCTCACAACCACCATGTCAGACTACACAGAGAAGCCATTGAAATCCTCAAGAAGCACGTGGACAATGTCAACAGAAAAGAAGTGACCGTGAAAATGAACAAAATCTGGCTACCAGTATTAAAAACTCTAAAATTGCAATAGCACAACAACAGAGAGGAAACAAACAAGGACATCTAATCACCTCTCAACAAAAGTTTGTTCCAGGCACTGCCAGGCCATTATATGCTAATCAAGGTGGTCAGTTGAAACATTCCCACCTCGCTCCAGCAGACAAGAGTCCTTTGTCCCAGCCTGGACATTATTCCACAGATATATAAACCCTTTTTCCTCGTTCCAACAGACCTCACTACCTCTGAGGATGCTTGCCATAGATACAGGCGAAACGTCAGGAGAGAATGCCTCCAGAACATGGCCATATAGCCCGAAAAAACCTACAACAACCCAGTGTTTCCGGCCATGACAATACAGTAGTAGAGTTGTGTGTCATGGGCATGGAGATGGCACGAAATACAGGGACTTACAAACTGAAATGGGGCGACTACGGCAAAGGAGAACAACACGTCCCATGGGCCACGAGAGGTTTGGAGTGGCCACTCTATATTGAAACTGGCCGCAGTTTCAGAGCAAAGGTGGTTGTTTGTTGTGGACTCCTTGTGGCGATGCAAACAATTCCAACGCTATCAGAATGCAGCAATGGCACAAAATGTGCAGCGTGCGTGCAGAGGTAATTTTCAATGGTAATCAAACTGTATTTTGGCGCCCACCCCCCAACCCAATCACTGATCTATATTTTCTGTTCGTGGTGGGAGTTCTGTGTGCCATATTTGGTTCAATTCCATCCCAGTTGGTGGAGTTCAGAATGTTCTTTGATTGTAGGTGAACTATACATCCCAGTAACTCCAACTCGCATATGTCAAGGTCTGTTTCCCCCAAGAGCGCCTCAAGAGCGCCCCCACCCCTGGGCAACATCAACTCTGCCGCGAAGGCTTACTTTGCGTAAGGGTTGAGCCGCCCCTGCGTGTGTGACACTCTACATCGGGGTCCTCAAACGTTTTAAACCGGGGGCCAGTTCACTGTCCCTCAGACCGTTGGAGGGCCGGACTATCGTTTTTTTTTTTAAAAAATCATCAATAAAAAACTCCCTCTGCACATGGCAGATATCTTATGTTGCGGTGTGGAAGGGTTCTTTCTGGCCCTCTTGAGGCATTAATTCCAGGAGCAGAGAATGGGAAATCTTCCTCTTTCTAGTCCGAACAAAATCTGGCTACCAGTATTAAAAAAAAACCTCTAAAATTATAACTGTAAATAAAGAACAACACTCAAACACAGGGGAACTCCAGACAAGAAACAATCAGGGCCAGCTAATCACCTCTCCCTAAAAACTGTCAGGCTATGAAATGGCAATCAAGGTGGCCAACTGAAATGTTCCTACCTACCTCCGACAGACAAGAGTTCTTTCTCCCACCCTGGATCTTCCACAATTTTCCTAGTTCAAGGTTTTCCTCTGACATGAAGTCCAGTTGTGTCCGACTCCGGGGTGTGGTGCTCATCTGCATTTCTAAGTCGAAGAGCCGGCGTTGTCCGTAGACACCTCCAAGGTCATGCGGCCACTGGCATGACTGCATGGAGCGCCGGGGCAGCCTCCCTTGGCTGGCTCACGCTGCCCATTGGGCCAGACGGATAGCGTGAGCCTGCCAAGGGAGGAGCAGCCCTGTGCAGCCTACTCGCGAGTAAAGCACCTTGCGAGGTGCTTTACACACGAGTAAGCCCCGCAGAGCAGCTGCCCTTGGCTGGCTCACGCTGCCCATCGGGCCTGACAGATAGTGTCAGGTCTGTGGGGGGTGGGCGCTCCTCCTCCGTGGGCCAGATAAGTGCCCTTGGCGGGCCGGAAGTGGCCTGCGGGCCGTAGTTTGGGGACCCCTGCTCTACATCTACACCGCATCCCTCCTGGCCTGGCGTCGATGGCGAAGGGCGATTGTGAGCGGTGTGGAAGTGTTTCCGAGGAGGAGCAGCCCTGGCTTCATCTCCACCGGCGGCATTTCAGGTTTCGTGGCAACGCCTGCCACACTCACGCCTCTGCGCTTCCCGGTTCACAGCAAAGCCACTGTTTTGGGTTGATCCGGACAGAGAGCGGCTTCTCTTTGCAACACAAAACACACACAAAGCAGAACTCTCAGAGCTGACAGCAGACCCGACTGGAGGCCGTTCTCTGCACACTCCTGCGCACCTCCAAAGCCCTGCGGCTGCGAGAGCACCGCGCGTTTTCCCCTTTAGAAGACACAAACATCAACACGTCCAGTGTTGTGACATTGGGAAATCCTGCAAATAAAACCCGGCCGTGTTATGCCCACATTGCAAGACACTTGGGACGGAGGGGGGTTGTTTGTCCGCACGCTGACATTGACCGATGGGGAACCTTCGGGAGAGAGAGAAGGCGCCGGCCCGCAGAGTGCATTTTTGTGCATCACCCCACACTTCCCTGTGGCTCTGCATGCGCACACGTGTGTGTGGCGCACCAAAACATAAGCAGGTGCTGTGTTTGCCAACACAAGGAGAAGGCCTCCGTTGGTACACGCAGTCCCCAAGTCACGAGCAAGGCCCCTTCTACGCTGCCCCGTCATCCAGGCGATCAAAGGAGATAATCCACATTATATGACAGTGTAGACCAGGCCTGGGCCAACTTCAGCCCTCCAGGTGTTTGGACTCCAACTCCCACAATTCTAGCTTTTATTGTCGTTGGGTATCATGCAATGGAATCCAAGGCCACCTGGAATACGCATTATTATATATGGACAAATTAGAAAAAAAAAAGCACCCGCCCTACTAAACACATTTGGATTTATTGTCGAAGGCTTTCATGGCCGGCAACACAGGGTTGTTGTAGGTTTTTTTGGGCTTTATGGCCATGTTCTAGAGGCATTCTCTCCTGACATTTCGCCTGAATCTATGGCACGCATCCTCAGAGGTAGTGAGGTCTGTTAGAAGTAGGAAAAAGGGTTTATATATCTGTGGAATGATGACCAGGGTGGGACAAAGGACTCTTGTCTGCTGGATCGAGGTGGGAATGTTTCAACTGACCACCTTAATTAGCATTTGATGGCTTGGCAGTGCCTGGGGGAATCTTTTGTTGAGAGGTGATTAGATGTATTGTCGAAGGCTTTCATGGCTGGAATCACTGGGTTGTTGTAGGTTTTTTCGGGCTATATGGCCATGTTCTAGAGGCATTTTCTCCTGACGTTTCGCCTGCATCTATGGCAGGCATCCTCAGAGGTTGTGAAGTCTGTTGGAACGAGGAAAATGGGTTTCTATATCTGTGGAATGACCAGGGTGGGACAAAGGACTCTTGTCTGCTGGAGCTCAGTGTAAATGTTTCAACTGACCACCTCAATTAGCATATAATGGCCTGACAGTGCTTGGGGCAATCTTTTGTTGAGAGGTGATTAGATGTCTGTGATTGTTTCCTCTCTGTTGTTTTGCTGTAGTAATTTTAGAG